GTATACTAAGATCACTAATAGAAGATGATTGATTTTTTTTTTTTAAAATGCATTTTTTGGTGGATTCTGGGAGGGGAAAAAATAAATGTATGGCATCTTCAGTAACTGTAGATGTAAACAACTGTAAAGAAAAGTTGTAAATAACTAGGTGAATATTTTATTTGTTATTATTATTAGTCACTTTATTGGCCAGGTACTTATTTTCTGTGTTCAGTTGTTAGATGCCAAATAGTTTGGGGTTTTTTTGTATTCGTTATATTTTTACAACTAAGAGACAGCTGCTACTTTGAAATGTAGGCAGATTCGATGAATGAATCAGGATGTGGTGGAAAGTTCAACTTTTGTCCTGCACAGAAAGTAAGGAAAAGTGGCAGAAAACTTTAACACGGTTGAAAGATGGGCAGCTGAATTCATGAATGAACAGAGCCAGACAGAACTCCTGGGACACTGCTTTCCTAGTAGAATTATATAGCCTTTTAAATAGAAAGAAAGCCTTATGTAGAAACTTCCTTTCTGTACACATGGGTCTCTGATCTTTACTCTGAACTGTAGAGGTGCTGAGGTCCATCTTCACTGGTCTGTCTTTTTGACCCTGCATGCCCTTGCTAGTTCTGGGTTGTTTCTGTTGTATTTAGAGTGAGAATTCTTACTCATGCTTCTGTAATTTGCTATTACAGCTGCCTGACCTCCTCTTTCCTCACTCTGTTCTTTCTGCTAGTCCATATTAAAAAAGACTCCCAAAGAAACACAGACAGAAGTGACCAAGAACTTCATTACATGCTACTCAGAAGTTCCTTGTAATAATCCTTTCTGCATCACTTTCCTCTTGAAGTTCAGATTTCTTCCCACAAGTATCCAGTTGTTGAATCACTGCATTCTGATAAGTCTATGCAATAAAATGTAAAAAAACCTCTTTGTATTTTTGTAAGCCAGAAGTGAAGTCGTGAGAACAGACAGATGCAATCAAGATCCTCATCAAAACATGAAAGAAAGGAAAAGGAATCTATTTAAAGCAAGGAAATGATTCTCATTCTCATCTTACTTTCCCCCAAAATCCTCTCTTTCAGAAGGCAACTCTAGCCTAGAGCATGCGCAGTGAAAAATTCAGGTATATGTTCTTGTGGGCTCATTCAACAGTTTCAGACTTTTTTTTTTTTTAAATAATGACTGTGCAAAATTATCTCTGCAAGAGATGTTCATAAACCTCTTGCTTTCTATAGACCAATTTGCTGCTTAAATGCTCTTTTTTTAATTAATCTTTATTCCTGTTTTTTTTTTCCTGGTTCAGTGAGGTCTAAACCAGGCTAAATCACACTTTAAAATTCTCTGAGACACTAACATTAGAACTGAATGCTAATTTTTTTCCAAGCATGGTTATGGAGACGTAGGCAATCATATCTGAAATCTCCAATTCCATTGAAATCATCTATGCTTACTGTTCTTTACTCATCTGCAGGAAATCCTTAGTTTTCTTATAAAAGCCAAACATAGTCCTGCAAATTTCCTTTAAGAGTATTCTCTGAACTGTGCTTGCTAAGCCTACATAAGACCATTTGCTAATTGCTGTCACTTTTGCTTTCGGAATTTGACCTTTAAAGCATCATCTTTAAAAACTCAGTATAATGTAATTCCATGCTTTTATATTGACTTTAAACTTTTTTTTTCCTATCTATCTCAATTTTTTTTTATGCCTTCAAGAAACTGAGTGGCATACGCTGTTTAGGTGCAGGGCAGCTATATTTAACTTTACTAGGATGGAAACATTTGGAGAATATTTAATTTTTCTTTTAGTAATTCCTTAGAGAAAACCAAGAGAATTCCATTATCCCGTAGCAAAACTGCTCAGTCATCCTGTAAAACAGGGCCGCAAAGACAAACTGGTGATACATAACTTGCCTACCGTAAAGCTCTTTAAGGTATTTGAATAACAAATTTATAACCGCAAAAATTTCCAGTTTCAGTAAATGACTGAATTGCAGTTTTATCTGTACTGACACTGTGAAACCTCTTCAAAGTAGGTTTTTGTGATTCCATTCTCAAAGACAGAGATGGAAATTTCATGGGATATGGCTTTTGAAACAAATAATTCTTGCTGGGAGACAGCTGCCTGAGCATGCCTGCTATTCTCTGTTTACATGATAAAACACTAGCTTGCAACACTGCCCCAATTTTTAATGCACATGTACAAGTGGTTCCCTTTTTGCCCAGTTTCAACTATGTTGAGACTGATCTTTCACCTCCAATAGGATTATGGTTTTTGTGTCACACCCTAGAAGGTCAGTCGTCTGAGGGCTATCAGGCCTGTCCTTTGAGCCTCAGACAGGAGGAAGAAGCAGCAGAATAGTAAAATGTCGAAGATGAGAGTACTTTAGAAAACTGTATGTCAGGCTATATTGCTTTGAGGTCAAATTTTGGCAGCTAATAGCAACTTGTATACAATGGGAGATAACTGTATTAATTTAACTTGATTATGTGGACCATTGGATGCTTGAGACATGGCAGCACTAGACAGTGAATTAGTTTCAGTATTAACTGTTTGTGGTGCTACTATGGTCTGCTACAATAGAGGTTAAAAATGATTGGCATCGTGTCTTCTGCATTTTGGCTTCCTTGTCAGAAGGGGGGCAAACCCCACAACCATTAAAACTGCATTTTGCATTGTAGACTATTCTGAAATGGAGGAGAGAGAAAAGGATCCTGCTTTGAATACAGTTAATATGTGCTATATGAATTTAATTATGCTGTTCGGCATAAAATAGGTTTGACCATGTTTTCCATCAACTTATGTTTCTTGTTAGAAGGTAAGGTTCTAAACAGGAATGGGATTCCTTTTCCTTATTGACTTTTCTCAGAATTAACACTGCCTGCCGGACTGTTCCCTAGAAACATAGAACTTGTTTCAATAGCTAGTTGTGCAAAATCAACCTTTTTTGGTAGTGGAGGCTTTTCATCACTATTTTGGATATTGGTGGACAACAGCCCAAGAAAACATTGACAATATGTATTTTGGTGGAAGAAGGTAGTGTAATTAATGACTACAGAAAATAAGGTTAAAGATACCGGATTATTTTTAAACCTATGCAAGCGAAAATGATGCTTATTTCTTTGTTTAGTTTAAACATTGTTAGCAAATCTAGCCACTCTCTTTTGCATCCTCTTTAGATGTATAAATCCTACAGGGTTAATAACATTACTGGTGCCTTCAGGAAGAGAAGTTATTTATCATGCACAATTATTAATGCCTTCAGTAGAATGAGACTATGTCTTAAAAACTGTTGCTATATTGCATGCTTGCACTGTAAAAACTGAAGCCGATTTTGTAGTGTCTACAGTGTTATAGCTGGCAAATGAATAAAAAGTTAAAAGAATACTTGTACATAAATACTTTGAAAGTACACTGATATACTTTAAGTACATCGGAATGGAAATCTGTAATAGGAAATCTTCCCATTTCAGACACTTTGTGAATGGTATTTCATCACTAGTGCTTAGATTTGAGTTAAAATTGTAATTTACAATGTTTAAATAAAGTACCTAGTTATAATTATGATAATTTCAGAATGCATTTTAAATCAAGGAACTAGGCTTTCATGTGCACATACTTACATGTATTGTGTATTTGTTTTTAAATGAAAAGAAACCTGGTCTCCATCTTCCTGTTGACATCAAACAATCCTCTGATATGCAAATCCAGCTATGGGGAGAACAGATACACAGCGTTTGTTTGGATTCAGTCCAAGATTGAGAGAAAATTATATTTAAAGAAGTAATTTATATGCTTTGCCTTATTTAAATGAAAATGCGTTTTGAAAAAATCCCTATAACTAAAAACATTTTGGTGAAATGTTATGATGCTTTGTATGAATGATGCATTTTGCTATAGCTAGTTTAAAAACATCTTTCCCATACTCCTGCATGTCTCTAATGTGTAGATGCAGCTGTCACTTTCTCAGTGGCACACTTTAACATAGTATATGAAAATATTTTTATTTTTCTGGAGTAATAAATGTTTGTTATATGAGCTTTCTTAGGGTGTGCATGAGTGTGAAGTGTGTGTGTACACATGCTATTAAAATACATCTAAGTACTTTCCATCTAAAATTTTGCTAGTATTAATATTGTTCATGCATTTTCTTTGTGTGTTTAAAATCTGTCAAAATACAAATTCTTTAGAGACACTAAACGAGCAAAAACTTTTCAATCTTAGCTGCAAAATTTTATAATGATCCAGCTTGCACGTTTTAGCTTTGGCTGAATTCCAGGTTTTCAGTATGTATTTCTGGAGGACTGTGTTATTGTAGTCCCTGAATATAATACTTGGAGATGTGTGTAGCAGGGCATAATTATGTTTCACGTAAGCTTTAGCAGGCCATTGAACTGTTACCAGTGATTGGTAATGGTTGTTTATATATAGGATGGTAAAAACGGGAGTTAGACCACTATAAAATTGTCAGAAATCACAGTTCCTTTAGTCTCCTTTTATGTATTGTAGAAGTTTCTAAGACTAATCTGATGGCCTCTTCTTACATAATCTTAGTTTGTGATTCTGTCACTACTATTTTTTTTCTTCTATTTAGAAAATGAGGATGTAGAAATCAGTGTTGGTGTAAGGAAGCACTTAGTTTGGGAAGTTCTGTGGCACATATCTTTATCTGACCTCTATTTGTTCCGAGGCCACTTATTCTGTGCTAGAGTATTCTGACCACATTAATCCTGCACTAAGAACTGCTAAATACCATGTAAATCCTTCTTTGGGATAGCAGTTTTATTTCACTTATGTCATTTGTAGCTCTGTGTGTTGACTGATGTAAACACATACATTGATGATACCTGTATTAATATTTAAGGGAAAAGCTTTCTATGCCAAGAAATTTTATTAAACCTTTATCATTAGGTTGTAAGCCTCTTGTATTGGTTTTTAAATAAAGGATTTCTTTTTCAGTCATTTAATGCAAGTTTTACATTTTAATGTTCAGTGTCCATCCTTCTTTTTCTTTAAGCATTTTAAGAAACAGAAGAGGTTGATTCCTGAAAGAACAGTTTGGAAGTATTTTGTTCAGCTTTGCAGTGCCTTGGAACATATGCATTCTCGTCGTGTTATGCATCGAGGTAATACAGGATTGAAGATGATTTGGTTTTACTAAACCTTTTACTATGTGAGAATTAAGCTGGTTCAATGCAAATGACACCAAGTAATGTCATAATGGAATCAATTTTTTATGTTTCTGTAATGTTTTATAAGTAATGGAAAAGTGTGACAGAAGTTTGTGGTTGTATGTTTGTTGTGGTAGGCATTTGTTTGCAGCAATGGCTTGTGATACTGAATTTCCGAAATAAGTGCTAGTTCTGTAAGTGATGGAGACCCTGCCACTGCTACTCCTCTGCTTGCTCAATTCATTTTGCTGGCTCTTGTTTTCTGTCCTGTTCTTATTCTTCTGTATTTGCCCGTTGTCTCTCCCAAGTATTCTTACCTGCATTCTTGCACAGCTATCCCTCCATTCTTTTCACCTCTTGCACCTTTTTTTCTTACAAAAGTATTTGCCTCCTGCCAAGCCTTCTGGTGATGTATAGGCCCTTCTCCTACTCCCTTATCTACTGGATTATGTGCAGCCATGAGCATTTTCTCCCCTTCACTGCTCCTTTCCACTATTTCCAATCTCTGTGTCAAGTACTGTGTCCCAACAGCCCTTGTAGTTGGCAGCTATCCCTGTCAGGTACTAAATCTCTTTTACCCATTTTAAACCTCTGTACTGCTGTCTCCTCTGTATGTTGTCTTCATTTTACCTTGTAACTCTGAGTCAAAGAAAACAGATCGTTGTATTGCTGCTTCTCAGATGTACATTTTTTTTTTGCCTTGGAAATCCCTCTGGCTATGAGTTGCAAGTTGTATATGGGCTCTCTCTCTGGGTTCAGGTGTAATTACATGTCTTAGGTTGGTGGCTTCCTTCTGCTGGGATGCAAATAGTTGCCTGAAAGCAGAAGTCCCTCGACCTCTGCTGAGCTCTGTCATTTGCAGCTAGAGATGTTGCACCCTTCAAAAGTCAACTCGGATGCCCCTGCAAATTGCTTTCCCTTGTGATTCTCTTTTTCTTTTCCTTTATGCATTTGTACAGATACCTGCAAGTGCAAAGTATACAAAGAGAAGGACGTAAAATTACAGATTCTTTCCAAAGGGTATAGATATCTTCCTTTAATGCTTTTATGACTAAACAAGTTTATTTCAGTATATTTTAGCTCAAAACCAAAATGAGTTTAAGTTTGTTAAACTGAAATACTACCCTCAAAGCTTCTGGCAAACCTATGGCAAATCAAACGATTCCATGGTTACACACCAAAACCAATGACAAGTAAAGCTATTTTTAAGTTGAGCTGATATCTGTGTTGGATTGTTACACAAAGGGTGATCCAAACTCCTGAAAACTAGGTGAGATAGCATAACATAATTGTCTGTTGTCTTCTCTAAAGCTTGTAAGGTTTTGTAACTTCTTATTGGAAACTTGAAAGTGCTGGTGTTTGAAGGGTAATAACCATTCCTTTGACTGTACCTGTATCTTATGCAAACTGTAATCCCCTCTTATTAAAGTTAAGTGATTTTCTTTAAGTTTAGAGCCACAGTGCATTGCTCTTGAGCAGAGTGAGAGCTAAGCACGCTTGCCAAACAAATACCAGGTCAGTTTATTTAGAAGACTAACAGGATAGATACCTTGTTAAAAAAGTAAAATAAAAATCTTTGCTATTGTCTCTAAAGGATTGAATTAAAACTTAAACTGAATATTACATGTGAAAAATAATTGTCTGGGGTATACATAATTATTTTTCTTTGTTTCTACTTGATTAGCCCAATTCCATTGATGAGTTCAAATAACCATTCTCCTGAGTAAAACTTACTACTTTTTTTTAATGCCTGCTATTAAAGAGAATCAGATACCTATTTCAAATAATAATATCATGCCACTGTAGGTAATCTAATCAGCAAGTGATGGAAAAATCTGTTTTACAGTTCTTGAAAACATTTTTTTGTCTGATACTTGAGACATAGTGAGAGGTTTTCTAGTTCTAACGAAAGTCCTTATATATAGCTTGTATAAAGTAGTAACGAACTCCCTGCATATGCTTCTTTGGGGGTGTGTGTGTAGGGGGTTTGTTTTGGTTTTTGTTGTTGTTTGTTGCTTTTTTAAAATACTTTCCATGGTTCTTTAATTTTTTGCTTGAGTGATGTTTGTACTATTAAAATAGTTAATTTGAAATTCTGAATCCCAGACTTACTCTTTTGGAACAGCACAGTCAAATTTTATTAATATTAGCTGTAAACAAAAGCCTCTTTCAATCTATTATTAATAGAGAAGTAGCTTTTCTTGGAACCTCATTGTGACTGTTAGATTTCTTTCTTTTTTCTCTCTTTTTTTCCCCAGATATAAAGCCAGCTAATGTGTTCATTACAGCTACAGGGGTAGTAAAGCTTGGAGACCTTGGACTTGGTCGATTTTTCAGCTCCAAAACCACAGCTGCACATTCTTTAGGTAAGCTTTCTCTGAGGGAAAGGTGTTGGGGAGATGGTTTTTTTTACACGGTGGAAAAACTGTACCCACTTAGGAGGAGGAAGAAAAGGGTTAGGTCCAGCTAAAGCTTTTCTTAAATAATAATAGTAAAAAATAGTAAAAAATTAAATGGTCAGCACCATGGACAAAACCAGAAAAGCCGTAACACTGAGGTGTCACTTTCAGCAGTATAGCTCGTGGGTTTTGTTATTGTGTGTGTGGGCGTGTCCCTTTGTTTGAATCATTTAATGTACATTCCTGGCTTAAAACAGGTCTTCATGACAGTTGCGTTTTCTAGAAATGCTAGGAAAAAAGATGATCAGTAATATGGATGCTTTTTAAAAAAAAAAAAATCATATGAACTTTAATCAGTGTTGGAAAGAATCTGGTAATTCTGTGTGCCTGTATGGGTAGCATTGATGACGTGCTGGTTACGTGCTTTGAAAGGGCTAACAGAGGAGCTTCCCTGTTTTAAAGCGGGGTTTCTCAGTATAAGCTAAGTAAGTCAAGGACTGATCAGAATTAGGCTTTATTGAACCATAAAGACTTAAAAACAAAACAAACCCCCACCCACCCAAAACAAACAACAAAAATCCCAGAAAACTTATTTTTATAAGAACAGAAAAAAAACCTTTCTGAAATGCCCAATTTATTCTTCTGCTCGCACATAAAAAACAACATTGTATTATCTTTTTTCAAACAAAATTTTCATGTAACTTGCACCTTTTGAGTAGCATGTGGAGACTATGATGGTTAAGAAGTCTTTAAAGAAGAAAAAGTAAAAATTTGGCAAATAAGTTTAAATTTAGGGAATGGACAAATGTCAGAATCTAAGAGGATGTCTCTAAAAGAGAAAAGCCTTGTAAATAGACCATCTGCTTTAAAGAGAAATGTAAGAATTGGTGTTTATAGTACGATTATGTAGGTTTCTTTAGTTAGGAAGAAAATTTCTTTTCCCCTGCTGAAGTGGCTGCATTTAGTGGTTGGTGAATTCAGGCTTCTTCATTGACTACAAAGGGTGTGAAATGAACTTTTAGACCCCTCAAGAGGTGGACCATTGGTGGCAGCATCCAGAATTGTCTCCTGTTCCTTGTAAGGGGTATTGAGGCAGGCAGAGCACCTTACTGATACTTGACTACAGATAGGTAAAATAAATTCAAATGCTGCTCAGTAAGAATTTTTAACAAATAGCAGTGACAATTCTGTAATTAGGCATTTGGACACTTTTATATGTTTGACAAGAGTGCATGATAAGGAAGATAATATCTAAGAAAGACAAGAATGGTTAAGTAATACTTATGATCCCTATCTTAGGGCCGTGGGAGGACACACAAAGAATTTTATTTCCTCAGATGCTGATGTTTCTAATTAGACTGTGAAATACCAGACTTCTTGGATTAAATTATGCCATATTTATCCTCACATCTTAATTTAACTTTGTTAAGATAGTCCTAGTTATCAGTAAGGTGGAGAAAAAGAGAGAGGATTGATGTTCAGCGTGTTTGTACCGCATTTGAGGTGGGGGTAGTACTTGTGTAAACAGCCAAAAAAACCCCTATTTTAGAAAGGAAATTTTTGACATGATCCTTACTTGCCTGTCTTCCAGAAAGCCTTTGGTCACTCTTTTGTGCCTTCCTGTGTTACCGTGTTTGGTGCATACTGATACTGGTATAGTCAAAACAATTAGTAACTGCTGAGATCTTAACAGGACTGAGGTGAAACTCAGACAGAGATGTGCAATCTTGCATTATTAAAAAATAGAGAAAGAGGTAGAGGGGAAGCAATGAGACCAGACCGGAAATGTGCTTGGGCTCCATGTCAAAGTTCAGAATTAACTCCAAAGACCTGGTACTAGTTCATGGCACAGCGCTGCTGTTGATGCTGCCATCGGAGCCCAGTGGCTGTCTCTGGCAGCACGGTGGAGATCTTGTCATAGTTGGGTCCTGCAAATGGAAGGATGTAAACGAGCAGTGTGAAGAGGGAGCTGCTCCTGGACTGCATTCGGAGGAAGCTGTAAATCCTGATCTGTGGGCAGGAGTGCACAAAGAAGGCAAAAGTCAGTTGTGAGGGCAGGAGAACTAGACTTGTGTTCTGAGGCAGAAGTCAGGAAGTTAAAGAGGAACAAACTGCTTCAACCCTGGGTTATTTTGGCTCATTGTAGGGGAATGGTTGCAAAGGGACTGAAGACTGAGCTAGAGTTAAAAACAATGTAAAACCCCCAAGCCCTTTAAAGCTCCTATCTTACAAATACAAGCCATCCAGGGAGTGGGGGGACGGGGGGTTGGAAGCTTTGTTTCTAAGGTCGGGTGCTGTGTCTTGGTAGAGGAGCTGTTATTTTTTAATTTTCTTTTTCCCCTATCTCCTTTTCTCCCATTTCCCTCTTAATTAAGACCTAAAGTCAGAATTCAGCCTAGGAAAAAGGTTCTGTTCAGCTGTTAACTTAGGCTACAGTGGAGACAGTGACACTCTGATTTATTCTGTCACTAGCAGAGACCTTTTTTAAAATTAATTTCTCGTGCAGCTTCTGATGCTCTTTTTCCTGAAATTTCTTTCAAAGATGTATCTTTTTATGATTCCATAAACCTTTGGTTCACAAAACCCAGTGAATTACAAACATATTGTGTGTAGCAATTTATACTTGTTTACAGGCTTTATAAAAATTTCAGTAGCAAACTAGATTCAGGCTTTCAGAGATAAAGTAATGTACTAAAATTTTCATTAGCTACAGCTTCTAACTGCTAATTATGAATAATACTGATTTAATTAGGAGACTTGTTGATGGTCCATTTGAAACAAATGAAAATACTGCACTGGACAGGGTTTGTTAATGTTCTTAACTCTATACAGCCTTATCAAAACAGTAGCATTTTCTTTTGTTGCATGTATATATCTTTTTGAAAATAGAAAATCTTTCTTCCAAAAATGCAAAGGAGATGAAGGTGTTTGATGTTCTTGATTTGATACAAACTTGAAAAAATTTCTTGGTTTCAGAAGACTTTATATTAGAAAGGGGAAGATGATCCAAGAAAGGTTTCTGATTCCTTTCGCTATGACTGTGTGTGTTAAGGTGGTTGTTATTGTTTTAATGGCCGAATGCCAGGCCTTATGCTCTTTGAAATGGCAGTTCTGAGGTCAGCTCTTGGAAATATGCATTTTTTAAAATCTTTGTTAGCAATTCAGTGGATTTAAGGATAGTCCGTATTTTAGTATTTCAATTCCAAATTAAAAAAAAATCAAGTCTCCAGTGTGGTTGTGCTAGAGGACTGCATAGTATGGTGGCCAGGCAGACACTGCTGCCATGATGTGAATACCTTCTTGCAGGGCAAAGGAGCAGACCTGCAATCTTCTTAAAATGGTTGAAAGCAAAGGATCATCCGTATTGAATTCTGGTGTGTCTTCTGTGGTTTGACACCTTCTGTCACTTCCGTGGTACCTCTGTCCCCAGCAGAAAGCTATGATATAAGGGATTTGACTGTAAACTCATGCAGGTTGTGGGAATGAAATACCTTGTAAAAATGTGTGCAGATGCTCTCCTTTCCTTTTTACATATGGATCTCTAACCCAGCAGAAGATGTCAAAGCCAGTGCTGAGGTGGTGGTATGCAGTACTGTTTTGCTGTGAATAGAATAAGCTCCACTTTCATACTCTCAACCAAACTGATCTGAGAACCTGCACCCTCAGTGTACAGTAAGGCTAACAGGGAAGTCTGCAGCTGATTCATCGCAGTCATCAGAGAAGCAGTATTAAAACAGCTCTTATTTTATCTACAAAACCCTGAGATGTCTTACAGTAGTTTGAAAGCTGAATAGAAATTATTGTGGTGTTACAATGCTACATTATAAAATAACCAAGATATTTATAGATTCATTTCTGCAGTTAGGCTATTTGCATTAGGTAGGCTAGGTTGTAGAATTACTTTGAATAAGTGCAGTATATTAGGTCCCATATCTGTGGTTGAAGACGAGCCAATGACTTAGAAATCTCCTATACCTACATTAAAATAAGTAAGTAAAAATTATTGTTGTTGTGAATTTGTTGTGTCAGTGGTTGGTTACCCTCACTGCTCCAGAACTGCAGCTTATTTGTAACTTAGTTTGTCTATCTTCAGCATCAACCATTCATCTCATTAAGCACTTGCATGTTGTGTTGAACTCTGTATTATAAAAATTCCTGGGATCTCATAGACATTAAGTCATTCACAAACTGTATCTTTTGACTACTTAAATTGGGCCTTTTTTCTGAACTCATTTGGAATTCTTTTAATTGAATTTGGAATTCTTTGAAAATCAGAAGAGTTACTAAAGTGATTTTAGCCCCCTTCCTGAACTTGGATAGTTACGTATTCCAGTGCATGGAATGCCACTAATAATTATACAGTCTTTTTAAAAGTAGTCTATTAAACATGTTCTGAATCAGCTATTACATTTTTTGTCTAAGTAGTATTAACATTTACTGGGCAGATTTTTCTCCTAGCTTAAAAATGCTTGACAGTACTTAGTGCTAGTTACTGTATTTAATTCCTCAATGTATTGTCAGTTTTTGAATGAACACACTCTCCTTTTTACCTCAGCTGCAGTGTGAGTTATGTATTTATGCAGCTAATAAGGTGGACTGTTTATATCATAACTTGCTTCATAATAGTTTCTTTGCCTCTGATCCTTCAGATCCAGCTTCCTGCCCCTTAATAACACTATTTCCATTATGTCCATTGCCTCTCCCAGTAGCAGAAAGCTTGCATAAAGAAACCACACTTTCTGGATCTGCGGCATCTTTAAAGGGAGGGAGCTCCACATCAGCAGCAGATTCTGAGGAAGCAGTTTATTTGGTCCAGGCCTTTTTCAAGGAGATTACTGTTCAGACCTGCAGGTTATCAGAGATGTGCAAATGCAGTGAACAGAATGCTAAAGTTAAACATTTTTGTTCTTTAAAAACATAAGCACTTTAATGCGTTGCATCCTTGTCTTCTATTATCCCACTTCCATGTCTTCAGATGACTAAAGAAAGTCACTTGTCTATATAGTATTGTGATGCTGTATCTCACTTAACAGAGAAAATAATGATCCAGGAAGGAAACATAACTTATAATTACATGTGGTAGTAGCTTGCCAGCAGTACAGTGCTACTTACCGAGATCACTCACCGTTTTAAAGAATCATTGCAATGCCTTCAGTAGTTCCTGAATGTCAGAATAATGAATCTTTTGTCATGTCCTGTTAAAAACAGTTTACAAGTAGTAATGATATCTAGATCTTCAGGTTGTTCTTGTGATTCAATGAGTACTATGACTGTAATTTCAATTCCTTTCACTTGTTGGTCATCAGGGGCTTCAGGCTGTATTGCAGTTAAGGTGTTACACTAGGCTAAACGCTGTGAAATGATAGCATTTGTTCTTCCTTTTCACTATCATCAATCTTTCACAGTCGTATCAGACCCCAGAGCTACTGGTTAAAATTACCTTTGCTTTTGGTAAACTATGAACCTTCAAACCTCTGTGTTTTCAGCTGCCCCCTGTGGATTCTGTGAAGCCTCTTTCTGGCACATTACTCACTGCCAGCTACTTGTGTGATGTCTCAGAGCAGCAAAGGCAGTGCTGCTGGAACCAGCTAAGAACCAGATTACTATTAAGCTTATTTTTTCCATTGTTAGGTGATTTCTGCCAACAAAGCATCAGAATATATTAACCCAGTGCATTAATTAATGGATGCAAAATACAGCTGAAAGTTTTCAGAGGTGTCCAAGCTCACAAGTCAAGGAGGAAGTACAGCAGTAAGGATAATAGAAATATGAAAGCTGTGTCATGCCAAATGTTGTTTAATTACAGTTTCCAATTTTAAGACAGCTGTTATTGAACATCCACTAAAGTATTGCTGTTGATACATTAGAGTAAGAGTTATTCTGGATATTCTGGTAGCTATTTTGATATTTCAGTTCACCCATCTGTGCGCCTATCCTTTCACAGGGAAAAGACCATCCCTCTTATCCATTTCTCTATTGTGGGTGAATATGGACATTGTTTTGAGTTGCCTTTCCCCAGCCTTTCTCCTTTGAAGCTCTTGATCTTTCCCAGTCTGAGCTCAGAGCTGCAGTAGTTTCTCAGGCCAGCACTGAGGGAGCCTCTGGGGAGAGTGGCTGCGGCACCCTCTGCTTTCCTGGGGGCTGGAAGTCTCCCCCAAAATATTTAGGGGACCAAATTCATTGTAGGATGCAATATGGGACTTCTGTCCTCGCATATCTGTTAGAGAAGCATGTTCTCAGTTTATACTGGTTTGGAATACTGTTTTCAGTATAATTTGCCAAGGAGATCAGTTGAAATGATGGGTTACCAGCAGCAGTGTCCTGACCTGGGATAAGGTGGTACTGGGTTTCCCAATCTGACCTGGGCCTTTAAAGTAGGAAAGTTGTTTTTTTCTGTTGTTTGTGGGTTTTTGGGTCTTTTTGTTTGTTTTTTTGAGGGGGTTATTTTTGTTGTCCCCCCTGCCTCCCAGCTTCCTCCTTAAGAAAATATGATGTAGTTTGAGACGTCAGCCTTTCTAAATATAGGGCACACTGTCAAAGCAAAACCCTTAACTTTTGGAAATTATGAGACTAAAATTATTAATCTGATTAATTAAAACTGACTATTCAGATTTGGAATTAATTATGTATTCACTATATCTCTGTTTCCAGTATTCATACAGAGATCAATTCTGAATAGATGAGGCTAATTCAGAAGTGATAACGACATCTTTATGTTAAATAAAATAGTGTGATGTTCATACTCTAATTTTCATGGTTTGCAGTGAGAGTGCTGATTTTAATCTCTGGCTACGATGCAAGGTGTTTAGTTTCAAAATAAAGTCAATTTGTATTGAATTGACAGAGTTCAGTTGGTTTTCATCATCAGGATTCAGTGCTTAAGAGAATATCCCACACAAAATTGAAGTGAGAATCTTCATAGGTCTGTGACTCTCTTTGCTGTTAGACAGTCATTTTGCGGGTATATAGGGAGAAAGTTCAGATACAATGCACCAAAATTGCCAGTACTATTATTTTTCATAACTTCTTTTTTTATTGATCTGTCACATATGAATCCATCACTCAGATACTTTTTTTTTTTTTAATGGCTTTTTTTACAAAGCTGAAACTTCTCACAGAATTTCTGTCTTCCAAGTAACTTGTGACACAGGTTGGGGGAGATGTCCTGGAGCATCCAATGTAAATTTGCTCTGGGACAGTCCTAATAAATGCTGCTTTTCAAGAACAGACATCTCCAGAGCCCTCAGCTCTGAGGCAGGATTAAGCTAGGACAGGCACGGATTTGGGAGCTGAAAAGCCCTCACAGAGTCTAGTCCTGCAGCAGATGGCCGAGTTGCTTGTAGGAGCCTCGGCTTCTGCTGGGCATGCAGGCTTTTCTGTCTTCCTCTCTGGGTAGCTGAAGATCCTGGATTTCAGCCTCAATTTTAGTTTCAGATATTCAAACTAAATTGTGTTTATTAGTTTCAAAAGCAACCTTTTCAGATTTGTATATTCTCAAAAGGGAGAACAAACAACTCATGTAAAAGAAATGGAAAAAAAAAAAATTAAGCCATGGAAGAGAATTTCTGGCTGTTCTTATTTTCAGCCGCAGTGATAACAATTTGGAAAGGAGCGGGGGGGGGGGGGATGGTGAGAGGTGGGGGGGGGGGGGGGGGCTGTGTGTGTGCATGTAGTATGTTCCCTTGGTTTTCTTCAGAAGAAAATAATTACTTCCGGGCTTCTTTAAAAGCAAAATTTGGAAGTATTCTACAACTGAATAATTCTGGTAATTAGATACCAATAGTGGAAAAAAAAGCTGCATTGGATGAAGTAGATCTGTAGTTCATGTGTATTTCTATGAAACTAAAGAGTCATAAGTATGAATTGAAATTATATGTGTAGCAAAATGAGAAATATAGAAGATGAAAAATGTTTTTTTCAGCCAGGAAAATTGTACTTTTACTACTATATAACACCAGAAATTTTCATTCAAAAATACTTGTGTATTTATTGCAGTTGGTACACCTTATTATATGTCTCCAGAGAGAATACACGAAAATGGTTACAACTTCAAATCTGACATCTGGTCTCTAGGCTGTCTGCTGTATGAGGTAATATTGATATATAGAGTGAACTTAACGCTGTTGTGCTCCCCGCCCACTGCTCCCCCCCACCCCAATGTATTAAGCACTGTTTTAGGATCAATGTCTATATTTTTGTTGTTTAGAAAAGTACGTAGCATTGTGGAAAAGCTACTTTTCAGCTACTATATGTCTGTCTTTAATATTAGCAGTGAGAACTCTTATGTAACTTCAGCATATGAAATACTTTTATTTGTGTGTTACTCAAGACTTGCCTTTTACTGGGCTTGCTACAAAGATTTTACAGCAATTTGTTGAAGATTGGGCATAACTGAAGGATTATGAATAATGGCAAGCACATGTAAAATTCTTTTAGCTGTTTTAATGGCCTGTGCTGATTTTATGATTTTGGTGAATAAATGCATTGAGAAATAGTAGGACTGACGCAAGTATGCAACTAATGCTTTCAAAAACTGCAATATAGTTGTTTTAATACAAGTAATGTCTTTAATTTTTTTTTTTAAATGTAAGTAAAACAATTAAAAAAAAAAGGGTTACTGTGTACTTATTATTACCAGTTTGGATTAACTTTCAGGATAATGACTTCTGCACAGACATATGTAATTTTTCAACTCTCTGTTTTCTTCCAATTGGTTAAACTATAACTATTTGTTAATTTTTTTATTAATATGGTCAAGATTGGTAGGTGACACAATTTTAAGTGATGTTATATTCTGCGAAAATAAAGATGAAGGGCAAATTGAAATTGAGGTGCACGAAGTTGTGAAGAACAGGTAGGCTTCTAAGACAACTATGTCTTCAAAGTTCTTTGCATATCATTTGTTGATCAAAAGACTAAACATTTGTATTGAAGGATACTGGAAAAAATTTTCTCTCCATCTGCAATGGCAGTGAAGTCTTTTCTAGTTGTGTTCTAGATAAAAGCTAATATAACCAACTCACTACCTGCAAGCCACCTGCTTCTGAGTCAGCAGAACTCATTTAACATGACTTCAACAGGATCAGTACCTCCTGTTATTTCAGGCTTTTGTAGAAAACAGTGCCAGCCTGTCAAAGTTGTATGTTACTACTAGATGAATTGTCTCCAGTAATAGTAGTTTACTTAATATCACTAACACTTTGCTTTAAATATTAAAAGGGCAAATAACTATATTGCAGTTCTACAGAGTTTATAGATCTATGCATAGCTGTTGCTACTAAATCTTTTGGACAATTCACCGGGGTGAAGGCCGATACCTGATAGCAAGTATTTAAAAGTTTAAATCCTGAACTGAAACTTAATCCCGTATTGGGATTCCTTAGTACTGGTCATGGCAACCACCATCAATTTCAATGCTCCACTTTACACACTTGTGCACGCAGAGGCCTAAAGATAGCATAGAGGTAGATGAGGATTTCTCAGTATTACTACTTCTCTTCCCCTCGTTGGTTTTCTTGAGGGCTTGTTTTTTTTAATCTGGAAACAAACAAACAAAAACCTCGAATACCTAATTATTATATAAAATAAGCATGTTTTAATGCTATTTTTTCTTCTGTGTTATATGAAATAAAATTGCTGGCTAGAAATCTATGGCACTTTTTAAAAGAAGATTTTTTTTTTTAGCTTGCTGCTTTGATACTGGTACAGTATATTAAACACCTATGTTAATATTAAATTTTTCTTTGATCTGGTAAATAATTTAAAAATAGCTAAATATCTTAATTCTGTTGATTAGCTCAGCATCTTTAAAGACTATATTTCTATTTATTTTAGAAGTTCTACCAGGATGGTATTTAAGTTGATATGGTATTACGTTCTGGTGGTTTTTCCTTACTATAAGAATAAAGTAATTATTGGGATACTTATTGTTAATATATTATAGAGCTATCATATATTAGTGTATGCCAGTGTCTTCAACTATACCTTTTAATTTTTTTGAGAGGTGCATTTATCCCATTTAGTTAATTCTACAGCATACCAGATGTTTGTGGGGTTTTTGTGGGGTTTTTTTTTTTTTGCTTGGTCATTTGAAATTTTGGGTATAGTAAACACAAAATATATGCTTATCATTTTTCTCTTTTTAAATAACCACTTTCAAATAATTTAAAAGTTCTTCAAGACATTGGAGGACTAAGGCACGGTATTTTTATTATCCGTGCAGTTTTGTGCTCAGTATTGTTTTGCGATATGTCTATTGCCTGCATGTTAGCATGTTTTATTACTTTGATTTCATGTTGATATGTGCTCTGGATTCTCTCCAGCTTAATTGAAGAAAAGCTGTGGCATGTTTCACTTCTCAATAAATGTTTAATTGCTGCTAAACTCTTTTCAGTTATGTTTTAATTTAAGTTGAGACTAATTTGCTATAATGTATGTTGTTTTTAAAAATTATTATTTCTAACCTATATTACAGTCTATTATTCAATGCTAACTCTGTGGCCATTTTTTAAAAAGTATATTTTAGTCTGATTTTTTTAGAGCCCCAGGTATTTCTGAAACCTCAAAAACACTACCACTGGAGTTTTAATTGATATGCAACAAAGTAGACTTTACTAATTAAAATCAAGATGCTGTGCTTTTGCTACATGGACCTTTACATGGAAAAGTAGGTTTTACACATTTCCTTTTATTGTTCAGCGTAGCAATTGCATCCTTACAGGGTTGTAGGTTGGTGGCTTACAGTTCAAAAAAAAAGGAAAAAAAAAAAAAGAGAGAGAGCGAGCTGCCACCAGCCCCGAAGACAGACAGTGGGCTTTCGTCCCTCAGACACCCCCAGAATACTAATCAGGAAAGTCAGACCCTGGAGGTCAGGGAGCAAGTCAATCATTCTAGCGATCGTCTCAGTGTGGAGGATCAAATTAGCCTGAAAAATTCAGCTGCTGGGAGGAGAGGGCGAGCAGCTGTCAGGGGCAGCAGCGAGATGCACTAATGAACCAGATGAATAGTGCAAAAGCTTGAAAATAAAAACAGGACAGTTGACATTTTTCATCTGTCAAAGCAGGAGATGCATGAAAATATAGTATTCCTGTTTTAACTCCTTAGGGGACATTCAGAATTTTTTTAACACTCCGCAGCATTCAAACAAAAGTACTTCTTAATGAACACCTAGAGTACGAAAATGAGTAGCTGTGCATTTATTTAGAATTTCTGCATGTGTACAGATCCTGTAGTTGATTTTTCTTTCTTTTTTTTCTTTTTCCTTCTTTTTGGTCTTTAGCTTGCATTTTTAACATTCTTTTTAAGGTAAGAGACAATGTCATGTAAATCCAAAAATTAACATTATTTTGATAAGACAGTTACAGCATTTTTGGGAGGAGTGTAGGATGGAACTGTGGTGTAGTGTCCTTTTTGGGAGCTTTAAAATTGTTTAGTCTTACTTGAAGGTAATATGAAAAAGTACTGAACTACTTGAGAGCATTTTTATTGGATACAAAGTGAACATAAGAGAATTTTGGTAATTTTCTTCATGCGCTTTCCCCCAGTGCTATCAGTGCTTAGACGTGAAAGAGTTAAACTGCTATCTGGAAGACCACAAGACAGATGAGAGCCATTTTCAGCTTGTCCTGTCCCTGCTGAAGCTCACTGAGTAGCACAGCATGGACTAGCGTGTTTCACACACACTCTGCCTGTCTGGGGAATGTACACATTGTCCTTCCAAAATCAAACTTATTAGCACATGTAGAAAAGGGTGACTGACTTTGGGGCAGCACTGCACTCAAAGCAGCATTCGTGCTGCTGCGGTTCAAAGACTTAGAAGGCTTTGAACAGAATGGAGAGATTTTTTTAAATGAATTTTTAAATTTGTAATCCTGCTAACCATAGCATTTGTTTCCACCTTAAATGTCAAGTTGTAACATTGTCTGGAACTAAAGCGTAGGTTTACTAACGCTGGTCTTAAGCTGATGATTTATTTAAGTGCTCTCCAACAGTTATTTTTGTATTACCATTGTAAATTATAGTCATGGGTGCCTGTTCTGCACTTCTGATGATGTTTTGGGATATATCTATTTTTTTTAAAGTATTTTCGAATAACATACTGATTTATGAAGTTTTTGGGTTTAGGGTTTTTTTAAGTATAGCTGTTACCTTTTAGTTTTCCTGCTTTAAAAAAATCACTTTCTTGAACTCCAATAATAGCTATAGAAGGTTACAAAATCTACTACTGTTACCCAGCATTTTCACCGTACAGTATTGCTTTAGATCAGATAGTGTTTTAAATGAGTTTTAATGATTTTTCTTCCAAACAGTCTTCAGAGGAAAATTCCATTGTGAGGTTTGGGTTTTTGTTGTCTCCCTCACGGTCCAAGGACCCTCCACACTTGCAGCAGTATCAGAGACTGCTCAATTTCTCCTCGTACTCTATTAATGAAACTTACGGTATACAAATCAAATATTGCAATATAAGGATTGTGACAGGTATGACAGAATAAGTACACACTGGTTACCGTAATAGTTTTGGAGCTTCTGTTTTTAGCACTGTGACACTTCTAAGCAGAGAATCGAAAGTCGTTAAAAATCACTTGATTTGTTAGTATTGCAGATTTTATGACAAAACGGGTTTACTTAAACACAAAAGAAAACTGTACATTTTCTTTAAACAGATGGCTGCACTGCAGAGTCCCTTTTATGGTGATAAAATGAACTTGTACTCCCTGTGCAAGAAGATAGAACAGTGTGACTACCCACCTCTCCCTTCAGATCACTATTCAGAGGAAGTAAGTAATTTTCCTTTTCATGGGCTAGATTCTCAGTTTCTGTAAGCTGGCACACTTCCAGGGAAGTAAATGAACTTGTATGATTTTTATGTTATTTGCAGATTATGCCCATAAGTGTTTGCTTGTTGAACTCACTCAAATGTTCCTGTCAAAACAAGTCTCTGATACAGTTTTAAATTTGGGGGATTAAACCTCATACTGTTAGCTTCTTAATTTCATTGAGCTTCCTTGCAAGTATGACAGAATGCTTTCCCAGAATGCACAATGTTATGTTCTACATCCCAGAATGGGATTGAGGCTTACATCTATAGTATGCTTTTCTAAAAGCACAACTAAACAAGTTTATGTTGCACAGTAAACTAGTGCACTAGCCCTTTTTCTCTAGGGGCTTGCATTAAAATAGATGTAATGTAACTCACCAGTAAAAATGAATTGTTTAGTTCCCATTTGTCCACATTATAAAACTGCGATGTGCTGTTTGATACAATTGAACGGCAGTTCTTTTGCAAGAAAGAGTGGTTCTTGACAACACTAACAGTAAATTTCAGAGAAATATAGGCAGACGTAATATAATAGAATTTACAATATACTTGTGCATGTCGCAGCAGTGTTTGTTTTAAGCTGATAGGTAACAGTTCTTTACTGTCATTAATGCCTTTAAGGGGGGGTATTGCTTTTTTTAAGCTTTAAAATAAATAAATTAAACACAAAACAACAAAATAAAATATTTTTATTAGTGTGAGTAACAGAATGAAAAAATACAAATGCTTGCTTGTTAATGTTCTGAGATGCCAGTTTTGAAATACTTTCCCACTTTGAAAAGAACAGGGCGAACTGATAGAAGCTGTAAACCAAGGAACACGTATTAGTAACCAATTCTAATTGAATTCAGCCTACATGAATTAAAGATTACTTTGAAAACTCAAATAAACATGAGCACTGAAAGACTTTTAATAAACATAAAGCGTTGTGCAATTTCACTTAGAGTAGGGGTTGTAATTCTGAACCTTAAATTTTTTTTTACGTTCAAAGACAGTGATTGGACTATTAATAAAAGATTACTGCCCAGTATTTTGTTTTGTTTTGTATTTATAGTGACAATTTTTCCCCTTTTATGAAAAAAACTGGACTTAAAAAGATAATTCAGTGATGTTACAAAGGATGAAATAATGATCTATTGTGTAATTTATGCATTATATCTCTTTGTGGATTTTCCAATTAGTCATTTTACCTGGGCCATTTTTAATTATTATTTATTGTAGACTATAAATATGGCAGTTCATATAACCAACTTCAGAACCGGAGGCCTGGAAATACAGTAGGGTGTGAACAATAATGCAAAATGATAGCAAGAATGTCAGGGGCCGTTCTTTGTTGTGTCATTCATGCTGTCTTCCTTTTTCCATGAAGCGCATGAATATTTCACATATCTGCATCCTCATCCTCTATTCTTCTTGACTAATTTTCAGACTGTCTGAATTTGCATTTCACATGGTAGCTGATTAGGAGATGCTGAGTGCAGCAGCGAAGCCTCAGCAGGCGGTTTCC